GTCTCTGACTTACCCTCATCTGTTTCTTTCAGGGATTTCTTCAGTGCCAACCCCTTCACCCCTCGGACCTCTGGCAGGCTCACCAGTGATTGCTGCTGCCAACCCCCTCGGGATGCCTGTTCCGGCTGCCGCTGGCGCTCAGCAATAAAGGCCCCTTCTGTCTCCTGAGGCCTGAGCAGAGGTGGGGGAGTCCACTCTCTCCTTGATGCAGCTTGCGCCTGGCGGGGAGGGTGAAATACTTAAGAAGCACCGTGTCTGAACCGTTGCTTGTGGATTTATAGTAGTTCAGTCATAAAAAAAGAATTATAATAGGCTGATTTTCTTTTTTTTTTCTTTCTTTCTTTTTTTAAACTCGAACTTTTCATAACTCAGGGGATTCCCTGAAAAATTACCTGCAAGTGGAATATTTCACAGACAATTTTTTTTCTCCCCTTCCAAATTCAGTTCCTCATCACTAAAAAACAAAGACAAACCAGCCTCAATTCCTGCTGCTGCATTTGGGTGGAGATTTCTTCCCATGCCATTGTTCACCCACCATCCCACACTTTGGGGCAGGGGGCTTGTATCTCATGCTCTTTTCCAGAGATTACAAAAATGTAGCTTCTTCAAGGGAGGTGGGAAGGAAGGAGGGAGGACCCAACCTATAAAAGCAGTGTACTGCTCGTCATTTACATCACTTTATTCCCAAAGTGCTTCAGTGGGGTTATCCTGGTGAATCTAGTGGAAATATGTCTTAATTATAGTTACATTGAGATGCTGAAAAATCTACCCAAAGTGCTGACAGGTCCTGAAAATTTCTGTTCAGTCTGAATCATGTCTTATTGACCTGACCCTAAATCCAACTCACTTATAAGTTTAGTTTAAAACTTCAATAACCTTCCCTCCCAGGCTCTTTACCTTGGTCCTCTCCCCTCTCGTCTCCCAGCATACTCTATAGTTGGAAGGAGACTTGGCCATTTTGAATTCATTTAGCTACTGGGTATAATTTATTGCTTTTTACAAAAGAAAAAAAAACATTGTCTATATAGGTTTTATGTTAAGAACGCTTTAAGAGCTAATGGGAGATGTGGCCACACTTTCATTTTAAGCTTTCCACCTTCTTTCCTTATTTTCCCCTTTCTTCACATGCCATTCAGTGAGAAGGCCTGCCCCTCAATCTTGTAAATGTATCTGAGAGGTAGGAGCAGAACCACTGTCTCCAGTGAAACTGAAATGGTAGACCTGTAATTGTGGGAAAACTATAAACTCTTGTTACAGCCCTGCCACCCTTTGCTGTGTGTATATATATAATACTTTGTCCTTCATATGTGAAAGATCCAGTGTTGGAATTCTTTGGTGTAAATAAACGTTTGGTTTTATTTATCAAGGTTAGATTTAAGTTCCCTGTGTAAAGGTCTCGCTGGGTGGGTGTCTCACGTTCACATCTGAGGGGCCTGCAGCCCTGTACCGTGGAGGCTTCCTAAGGCCACCATTTTTATACACCCCTCATTTGACCCATGGTACCGGGCAGGGCAGAGAGGCCTTAAAAAAGCACCACAAGCCAAAGCGTCTCTGGGGATTAAGGATCCTTTGCCATAAAATTCACTTTGTGTCTCAGCAGTGCAGGGATTGGGGATGGAAAAGTCGCCAGTTTTGTGTGTTTGTGTGTATGTAAAGTGGATTTTCCACTGTAATCCAACCACCTAAGTTTATCAGGTGCTTCACTGAGGAAGCCTAGTTTTTTAAGCACAATAGCAAAACCATCAGCTCTGTATCTTCTGTTAATTTAATTACAGTAGCTGCTTGTGGGGACTAGGAAAAATTCTTCCAACATGTTTTAAGGCCTAAAATCTTAGTTCCCCATTCTCCTACCTTTATAGATTCATAAGCCTTTCTCATCTGGGCGTCATAGATAAATGTAATTATTTGAGGAGTTGAATCTAATGAACTTATCTAACTTTGTAACCTAAATTGGCTCTAGTAACTTACTTTATCAAGGTGATGGCTTTAGTGAGTATAATGATGAACTTTAGAGAAAGCTAAAGCCTCCTTTTGTAATGCTTCTCAACCACAGGGAGAACACTCTGTGTGGCAGGTGGTTTTCTTTCTTGTGGCCACTTACAGTGGATATTTATTGTTCTTGACCCTTTTATGCCCTAGAATGCTGTGTGGGTTACCATGTTGAATTTGTGCAGAAGCTAAAAGCACCGGATGTGCCAGAGATGCAATTTGTGATTACGTTTGCACTGGATTGTGATTTGAACAGGACACTATGACTAATAAATTCTTTCTTTTTAGGTGGGGAGGAGGGTTGTTGTAAATCAAGACTTCACATCCTACCCTTGTAGCTCAGAGAATCTAGGTGTAGCAGAGGCTGATGTGAGGAGCTGCAGACAGCTGAACCTCCTAACACGCATCAGACCTTGCAAGAAACTGAAGGTAAATGGAGAGGACTCTGAAATGCCACCCAAGAGCCTTTTAAAAGAAACAAACTTTTTAAAATGCTAATTAAGGAGTCACTGCAAAAGCATGAAAAAAAGACCCAATTGGGTGAGTGAGGGGGCAAGGGTTTACAGAGTAACAACTTCTTTGTTGTAAATTACCTCATCTGTATACCTTGTATTGGGACACTTTATTTCTCAGCACTACCTGTGTCTGCATTGATCAGATTGCAGGAGATGGAATGCCAATATAAGACAGTTGTGTTGGCAATTACTCTAAAAGGTTTTTTAGTATTTTTTTTAACTTTGTTTGAAGTGGGCTTCCCCCTCTCCCCCCCCCCCTTTTTTTTTTTAAAGTTTTAAGTCAGAAGTTCCCCCTCTCCCCCTTGATTTATTGGTTGTAATTGTATTGTAATTGGTATAACTAAAACATAACTGTGCTGGGAAGAAGTTGTGCCATGAAGGTCTTTAAATTTTTTTTTAATAAAAACATTTAAACAAATGAAATGTCCCTACAGCCTGAGCAGTATGCTTCTCCAACCGACACCGTATGTGATAGATGGCTTAGTTCTCACGTAACTTTGAATTTAATATTGAGTTTATAGGGATGTGAAGTGGGATGACTTAAGATTGGTTGAGGAGCACTAAAGTCTGGGAGTTTTTGACATTGAGATACAGTGAAAGAGAGTGTGATGTTGCTAAACAGGACTGGTTTCATTCCTGCCCTTGTCACGCACTTGGCTACTTGGCAAATTACTTAACTTCTGAATCGGTTTCATCATCTATAAAATGGGGCCACTGCTTCCTTGGAATTGAATCAGTGTAAATGTCAAGTATTAATGCACCTATTAGGCCCTTGATAAACCTAGTTTCCTTGACCCCCTGTTATGGAGGATTAGTCCTTGGTCCTGACTTTGCTAGTAATTTCACTATACAATCTCCTCTGGAACTCTCCAGACCTCTGTGTGTGTTCAGTCAGGAGGAGACTATGTGAGTTGTCTTCTGAGTTCCTTTTCAGCTCTGACATTGATTTTAGAAAGTTTGAATGATTCTTAAGTGAAAAGGTCCATGGAGACAGCTTGTTCACAGCAGAAAAGACCAGTGTTCAATGAATGGCAATAAGCCCTGTGGAAGGTGATTACCCCAGTCCCGCAGACAATTTGGCAAAGTCTCAGTGCCTGGAATGAAGGTGTGCTGGTGAGCACATACTTGGCAGCTCCGATCAAAACTATCAAGAGGGCTGGTAAAAGAGATGAAACTGGGTTTTACTTACTTATCAATGCCAAATAAGTAAATTTTACAAAAGTATATACTTGAATTGCCTTTTATTCTTTCTCATTTACAGTTTTTAAAAATTAGTTTCCTTTAAATCTTCACTGCATACTATCTTATGGCATCTACATCTTATCAATATTTGGAGTTGAGAAGTGTGTTTTAAATAAAGTAGTCATTGTGTAATATCTTGAAACTGAAATGTCTAACATGAACTTTACTTTCTAACATTCCAATTTTATACATGATAAATATAGGAAGATAAATTGTTAGAGTGGGCCTGTTAGAGACAGGAGTATATTTTGTAAAATTAGATTTTCAGGGTATGGCTAATTATTATAGCCTTAAAGTAGTGCAGAAAATTGGAGATTGGTTGACATACTTGGGAATGTTAATTTTCTCTCGATCTTTAAATTTCATCTTGTTTCACCTGTTGTCAAGTGTGGTTATAATTAATACTGACTGTTTGAGCATCTCTTGAAAAATCTAGTTTTGTCATAACTGCCTAAAGATTCCCACCAGCAAATTCTCTCCTAAGACTAGAGTTGGGTTTGAGTAGTTGTTTAATCATTAGTCTTTATCTGCCTCCCTACTGGTAATTCCTCCTCCCTGTGCCTCAGCTTTAGGAACTGTATAGCCCAGTGATTCCCAAAGTGGGCGCTACCGCCCCCCGGTGGGCGCTGCAGCGATCCAGGGGGGCGGTGATGGCCACAGGTGCATTTGGGGGCGATGAGTAACTGCTATTAAAATTTTAAAAAATTTAATTTCCAGGGGCTGAGTAATATTTTTCTGGAAAGGGGGCGGTAGGCCAAATAAGTTTGGTAGCCTATAATCGGTGACATGCATGCTAGAAAGGCTGTCTTCCAGGGCCTTTTCCTCCTTAAGGAAAAAGTTAGCCAAAGGCTTTGAAATAAAGTAGTCCCTAGTTCCCTCCTCAAAATGGGTCTGAAAACCTTAATGTCAGCTGATGCTCCACCCTATCTTAAGTGTCTCCCTGCTCCTCCCACTGCCTTTACTACCACTATCCCATTGCCCTTTTTCTTAACCTCACCCAAGGGTATTTTTTCCATGGCTTTTTAGTGTCAGTGGAAGGGAGGGAAGAGAAAGAAGACAGAGAGAGAGAGACAGACAGACAGACACATCCATTGTTTGCCTCCCACACCAGTCCCAACTGGGACCGGGGTTTGAACCTACAACCCAGATACATGCCCTTGACCAAGACCCTTTGGTATGAGGGTCAGTACTCTAACCACTGAGTCACACCAGCCAGGGCAACACCTGCACTTTTTCTTTTTTTTTTTAAACACCTGCACTTTTATGGTATTATTTTGTTGATTTATTTATTGTCTATCTCCTCACCTGCATATAAACTCCCTGATGATCTTGTATGTCTTACTAATCTGTGCTTAATTATAAAACCTTTTTTTTCTTTAAAGTGGGCCACTATCCCTCAGTATTGAAGATGATTGACTAGAGTAGCACAAGGACAATGCTTAGCACCACACCAGACTCATAATAGATGCTCAATAAATGGTAATTTCATCCTCTGTTCTCACCTCCACCTTACCCTTCCCCACCACACAAAAAGTTAATAAAAGTACTGTTGCATAAAGAGCATCTCAAGGTCAGTAGAAACTTGACCTGAGGCTTGCAAGTGTAATTATAAGCCACAAACCCCAGACTGAATTAACATAAGAAAAGGTTTCTTTAATGAGTGGTTGGTGAAATTATAAGTGACTGGAGGCTAAACAATGATCCTGACCAGATTATGCACAGAAAATGATGCCACATCTAAAGAGATGCTATACTTTTTTATTCGTGGCTGTAAAGTGTCTTATGCTAGAAAGGGAAAATATGCATACGTTAAACATGACAGGTTCTCAACAGATGCAGGTCAAGGATCTAATTTGAATTGCCTTGTTCCCACCCTCTACGATTTCCCTCTAAGATTCTATCTGTCTCCTCTGAGTTTTTAAATTTTCTACTAAAAGCCAAATATTCTTGCACTATAGCAAACTGCTATCTGGATTTGCCTCTCTGTGGCTATATTCACCAGGGATTCTTACTGGCCTTACTGTAAGAAGCTCTCCCCAGGTACCTCTATATGGGAGTTTATAGGATGGCCAGTCTGTTTATTGGAGAAGTTCCTAAGGCGATTGGGTATTTCTGAGTCAGCTTCATTCTTACATCACCTGCTTTGGCAGTGTTTTCTTGGCTCTTCTGAAAAGGAAAAGCAACAACGGCTGGTAAGTGGTTCCCTGATCCCACCCTGTGAGTCAGAGTCAAACATTTGTAGGCTTAACTAGAAAGGCAGGACCTTGCTTCTGTGTATTGAGCAGTTCTATGAAGGAATCCAAATAGCCACAGCTCTCCACATCTCATGTATACCTCATTCTGTTTCTCATTCACCCACTCAGCTTCTCAACCCAGGGTTCCTTATGTACTCACCTGTAAGATGCCTTTCAACAAACTGTTGTTGTTGTCCATGAGACTCAATCCTGTGGAGTAATGTGTGCTTTTCAAATGCAAAAGCAGGAAATGAAATTGTGTATGAGGAATCATTTCATCTGTGTAAAAAAAAAAACACCCCAGGGTTAAAAATCAGATTGCCCAGTCAAAAATTGTAGTCAGCTAACTCCTGCTCCAAATATTGAAGATGCTGACTAAAATTAACATAATTTACTTTCAAATAAATAGCCAATTTCAAGGAAAGAAATGGAAATTCCTGGGTGACAGAAACAAATTCAGAGTTCATCCTGAAGGTAAGTGGATGTTGAAGTCACAGTGGCCCCTAAGACACCAGGCTTGCAAACAGATGAGCCTTTGGGGATAGGGTTAGAATGCCCCCAGGGAGATAGGAGACAACCTCTGGGCCTTTCAAGGTGGAAACTGAAACAATCCCCTGGCACTTGAAAGGGCTGTTGCTAGAAAGAAAGGATTGGAAGAAAACAAAATATTAATTGTAGTTGCCTTGGGGTTGAGGTTAAGATAGATGTCACAGAAAAACAGTAGGAGAAAGGAGTCCTGAGCTCTTAGGGAAGGGAAAATAGTCAGGGAGTCCTTCCCAGAGTGGGGGCTGCTGGAGCTGGCTAAGAAGAGGCCCACCCTTAGCAATTCAACCTGCCAGGGCCAGCACCTGAGATTTGAACCCATTTCGCCGGGCTTAGTTCTGCTTCCTGGAATGCTTTTGCATACCTGTGCTGCCAGGAATCCTGTTCAGGTTTCTAGCCAGCCAATGCAGATAAACTTTTTTCTTTCTCTTGCTTTTGCTCTGTGGTCCTTTGAACAAAAATGTTTATCCTCACAGAAATTTCTAGGTCAGCAGATCTAGGTTCAACTGATCTAAACTAGGCTCAGCCAAGCAGCTCTACTTCAGGTTGAGGATTGGCTGGGCTGAGCAACTATGTTGATTGGATTCAGGTTTGTTCCATGTGGGGGCGGCTCCTTCTGAGTCCCATGCTGAAGTTGCAGCAGCTACCCAAGGCATGATCTTTTTTCTTTTTTAATCCTCACCAAGGTTATGTTTTTACTAATCCTTAGAGGAAGAGGAAGGGGGCGGAGAGAGAAACATTGATCATTTGCCTCCCCTACACAACCCAACTGGGGATCAAACCTGCAGCCTTTTGGTGTAAAGCAGTGGTTCTCGGCCTTGGCTGCACATTAGAATCACCTGGGAATCTTTTTAAAATCCTGATTTCTGGGCCTCATCCTCCGGAAATTCTGTTTCTTGTTACTGATGATGTTGTGGCCCCACCCCATAACAAAGAAACAATTTCCGGAAGATGAGGCCCAGAAATCAGGATTTTAAAAAGATTCCCAGGTGATTCTAATGTGCAGCCAAGGTTGAGAACCACTGGAAGGCATGCTCTTGTGGATTGCTGGAGTACAAGAGGCCAAATGAAATAACGTGGGCAAAAAAAATTTTGGAGGAATAAATTTGGGTATTTTCCAAAATTGACAGACACCATACCATAGATCCAAGAAACTCAACACCAAGCAGAATAAATTTATACACAAAAGGCATATCATGTTCAAAATGCTTACACAGAAAATCTTAACAGGCAACCCAGGGAATAAAGTGGCACATACAGAGGATACTTAAGAATTACCAGACACCATTCAAGCTAGAAGACGATGGAATGGCTTTAATGCTGAGAGAAAAAAACAAACCCAGAATCCTATGCGCAGTACAAATAACTTTCAAAAAAGGAAAAATAAAGCCTTTCTCAGATAAAAACAGGAAATAGATTGCCAGAAGACCTATAAGAAATACTAAAGGAAGTTCTCCAGGCATAAGGAATATGATATCAGACAAATTTAGATCTATACAACAAAATTAAGAATACTGAAAGTGGGCCCTAGCCAGTTTGGCTCAGTGGATAGAGCATTGGCCTACAGACCAAAGGGTCCTGGGTTCAATTCCAGTCAAGGGCATGTACCTTGGTTGCAGGCTCCACCCCAGTCCAGGCCCTGGTCAGGGCTCATGCAGGAGGCATCCAATGACGTGTTTCTCTCACATTGATGTTCTGTCTTACCCTCTCCTACTCTCCCTAAAAATCAATGGAAAAAAATGTCCTCAGGTGAGGATTAAAAAAAGAATACTGGGAGTGGACTAAATGAAAATTTTTAATTACCTTTAACTGAAGTCTAAAGTATGAAGTGGGCAAACTTTCTGTAAAGGAACAGATAAGAAGGACCTGCACGCAGGCGCTGTTGGGTGCAACGATGGCTTTGATGGGGGCGCTCTGTGCCGAGATCCCATGAGAGGTCCCAGGGTGAAAAGAGCGTCCCGCCCCCTTCCCCAGCATTGGGAGGGCTCCCAAAAGCTGGAAGGTGTGAGCTTTAGGGTGAAGAGGTATTAGATCAGTAACGCATATGAGGCTGATGATGATAGCAGGCTCCTAGATTTCCTATGGACCAGGCTAGGTGCTTCTCACAAACGCAGAGCAGGCCGGCTTACTTACTACCCACTGCTTCACAAATGAGATTGAGATCCAGAAAGATCACATAATCCGCTCGGGTTAGCACGCTAGTCAGCAGATTTGAACCCATGTCCCTAGCACAGGGGTGGGCAACCCATGGCACACCAGTAACTTTTGCTGGCACGTGAAACCCTCACTTATAATCTTCCATTTACAATTTTTTTCTTAATATTGACTTTTTTATTTTTCAGATAAATTCAGTGTAGGTGCATCTTAGATCAATAATTTTACATAACAAGTTATCTTAAACACCATAGACATGGATTGATGAGAGGGGAAGAGCAATTTCTATGCCTCTGCCTTAACTCTCCCTGCCTTCCTAGATCCGACCAGTGTTTTGGTTTCATCCACATACGCTTGTGAATCTTTGTTCTCAGTGATGAATTTTGTTAAGTCTCGTAATAGGAGTAGCCTGACGGATGAAAGTAGTAGCTCATGCATATCTCTGAAGGTCACGAAATATAAACCTGATGTAAAATCTCTGTCATCAGTGATGCAGCAGCAAAAGTCCCATTGATAATATCAAACAGAGTCATAAAGTTTTCTGTCGGACTATCAGTGTACATGTATACATTAAAAAATAAATGTATTTTTCATCATCAAAAAAAAAAAAAGGAACAGATAAGTATTCTAGGTTTTGCAGGTCATGATCTCTACTGCAACCACTCTACTGTTGTAGCATAAATAAAAGCAGTCTTAGGCAACAGGCAAATGAGCATGGCTGTTTCAATAAAACTTTATTTTTGGACTGAGATTTAAATTTCATATTTTATGTGCCACTAATCTTTTGATTTTTTTCTCTTCATTTAAAATTGTAAAAGGCCATAGAATGTCAAGCAGCGGGCTGGTTTTGGTTTGTGAATGGACCATCCTTTGCTAACCCCTGGTCTAAAGCAAAAATATTAGCAATGAATTGTGTGTTTATAGCATATGGATAAACGAATTGTAAAACCATACGATGAAATGTTGAGCAATAAAAAGAAATAAACTTGATACATGCAGCAACATGGATTAGTCTTAAAATAATTTTGTTGACTGAAAGCCATACCAAAAAGACTACATTCTGTATAATTCCATCCATTTAAAATTCTAGAAAATTCAAACTATAGCCACAAAACATAGTTAAGTGGTTGTCTGCAAGTGTGGGGTGGGGAAAGCAATAGTAGGAGATGGGGAAAAGGGATTTTAGAAGAAAATAAAAGTATGATAATAACATGAAGACTAGAAGGAAGGAAATGGGAATCTACTGTCAAAGGCAAATTGATTAAAGATGCGTGTTGTAAATCCTAGGGCAATCATTAAAATCTTTCACCTACAAGGCTCCATCCCTGGCTCAATGGTAGAGCATAAGATTGAGCCCTAATGCCCTGACTGGTTTGGCTCAGTGGACAGAGCATCGGCCTGTGGACTGAAGGGTCACAGGTTCAATTCCGGTCAAAGGCATGTACCTTGGTTGCGGGCACATCCCCAGTAGGGAGTGTGCAGGAGGCAGCTGATCGATGTTTCTCTCCCATCGATGCTTCTAACTCTCTATCTCTCTCCCTTCCTCTCTGTAAAAAATCAATAAAATATATTTAAAAAAAAAAAAGATTGAGCCCTAACCAATGGCCACATGGTGACTACAGCGAATGGTTCAGTCTAGGCAGGTGGCAGTAAGACAAACACTCTTAGAAATGCTGAGACAAAGAATTTAAGGTATTCAGTCTGATGTAGAAAGTACTGTATGGTGAGACCAGGCTGTCAGGGTCGTATTAAGACCCCAAAGGCTTTGTGGGGTTGTAATTCAGTCAACATGAAGAGGTGGGTAGCTGAGAGGTGGAGATAGGGGATGCAGAAGGGCAAAAACTTCAGTTACATGAGCCAATAAATCTTTGCCTGGGCTTTTTTGGGGTGAGATTTTTCAGTCGCTTGCTGTGTAATAAAATACCACAAATTTAATTATCTTGGTTTTGCAGTGCAGGTATCCAAGTGTGGGTTAGACAGGTCCTTTACTCAGGTCTCACCAGGCTAAAATCAAGTCAGGCAAGGCTGTGATCTCAACTGAGGCTCCATGCCCTCTTCCAAACTTACTGTTGGCCAAATTTAGTTTCTTTTGGTATAGGACTGAGGCCCTCCACTCCTAGAAGCTGCCTGCTATACGCTGTTTGGCCTTCTCCACAACATGGAAGTTCATTTCTTAAAAAGCAATAGGAGAATCGCTGCTTTGAATTTCTTCAGAGAAGGCCCCCAACTTCTTTTAAATGAATCATCTGATTAGGTCCACCCAGGTCAAACTCCCTTTTTAGGGATCCTGGTTTTATCTGCAGAATCCCTTCGTCTTTGTCTTATAACATCACCTAATCACAAGAGTAAAATCCCATCATATTCACAAGTGCTGCCCACACTCAAGGGGAAGAGGATATGTCACAGACTGGCACGGGTTTGGTATTCCATAAACATATGGATAAGTAAAGGTGACTCTTATACTGGAAATGAAGATTAAAGTAGGTGACATCAAAGACCACATTCAGTGCTAAAAATATTTAATTCCACCCTGCTGACTTCATCCCGTCCAAACTCCCGAGCAATCCCGCCTGACCTGCTCCAGCACACGTCTCTGCCCTCACTGGTGTCAGAGTCCACTTTCTCTTATACTGTGCTGTAAGAACACTAAAGCACAGTTTCTAGGCTGGTTTGCTTTCTCTTAGCTTCATGATAGTGCCTGTGCTATTTTCTCAGCTAAAATGCTCTTCCCTACACCAACTGACTGACTGCTACCCAACCCTCTATAAAAGCTTAGAAATCCTTCATCACCCCTCTGTGTGATTTGGGCTTCTACAACCTTGAACTTTTCACCTTTTATAGTTGAAGAGGCCATCTCCCTAACCTGAGCTGTCCAGGAAGGCAGAGAAGAAAGCTTCATTATGTTAGGTCCTAGCACTGGCCTGGACTGGTTAAGGTCCATGAATATTTGTTGAGCAAACAAATGGGTTCAGTAATCGACATGTTTGTGATTTGGGATCTTCCAAGATACATGTGCTTCCTGGTGTCCTTGGCCCCATGGCAGACCGGCCCAGCAGGCTCTGGCTTACCTACAGGCTCCAAGCTCATGTAACAGCAATGGAAATGACCATCACAATGCTTGAGTACGCTCATTTCTGTTGATTCAGGAAGGCTTTAAAATTCCCATCTCACCCGGCCAGTGTGGCTCAGTGTTTGAGCACTGACTCATGAACCAGGAGGTCACTGTTCTATTCCCCGTCAGGGCACATGCTCCGGTTTGCAGGCTCAATCCCCAGTAGGTGGTGTAACAGGAGGCAGACGACTAATGATTCTCATCATTGGTGTTTCTCTTCCTCTCTCTGAAATCATTTTTTAATATACATTTTATATAAATAAATGGTAATTCATTATTTTAAACAATTCTCATTTGCCACCTAGATCTCCTTTCAAAGAGAATGAGCATTAGGAATTATGAGGCAAAATGATTGATCATGCTGACATATAGAGTTCCATGGTAATGAACTGCAATTAGACAATGTGCTGCACACAAGGTGGGTATCAGCCTGGGACAGGAATTGGTTATCTCCATTCATCTTGCTAAGCATCTGGCAGTTGCTTGACCCTCTCTCTTTTCCCTGAGAGCCAGTCACCTTCTTGTGTTACAGAGAATGAGAGCTGGCCCAAGCCTCACAATAACAACATATTGCTTAGCCCTAGAATTGTGATGATGGGGAGGAGAGCAGATCCTTGTCCCATCATTACTATAGACAAGAATTCACTGGCCAGCACAGTAACAAAGAAATACCCCAAATTGCTTGAGTATATTACTCCCAAATTGGAACGACAATTCTTTAGGACAGTGGTTCTCAACCTTCCTAATGCCGCAACCCTTTAATACAGTTCCTCATGTTGTGGTGACCCCCAACCATAAAATTATTTTCATTGCTACTTCATAACTGTAATTTTGCTACTGTTATGAATCATAATGTAAATATCTGATATGCAGGATGTATTTTCATTGTTACAAATTGAACATAATTAAAGCATAGTGATAAATCACAAAACAATATGTAATTATATATGTGTTTTCCGATGGTCTTAGGCGACCCCTGTGAAAGGGTCATTCAACCACGAAAGGGGTCTCGACCCACAGGTTGAGAACTGCTGCTTTAGGACAATACGCATCTTTTAACCTCAACTACAATTTAGAATCACAACTAGAAATGTTTTAAACTCGCAGTGCTAATATTTTTTGCATTAAGCAATCTATGCAAAAATGTGATGCTTTAAATTCTTGTAATATTTAAGATAAT